TTCCAGCTGTCAGAAGTTGAAATATTAGACCAGATTATACTACCTAGGTTAAAATAAGCACCCCTAGAAATAGAGTACTATAAATAATATATGAGAAGTGGTAACCCCAATTCTCTATTTTCCCCTACTTCTGTATCTTATTAACTAGCGTTGAAGTCTTCATTAATGTTAATGTCCTTGGCTACTTACTTTCACTAGTTGGTACACAGATTACTGGCACATCCTCAAAGTCATTCCCTTCTGTGATTGTTTCATTCAGAAACATCCGTTATAGCTACCAATAGAAGAAAAAAAACACTTGACAACAATTGGTGCATCTTTTATGCCAAACAGTTTGGCATAAAACTGGCAGTATGCTTAAGAAAACCAAATCAACAAACAAAAAGCAAACTGCCCTTTCTTCACTTTTCTGATCCACATTGCAATACATGGTCCATGCACTGTACCATCCATCTATGGACAACAGTTTGAAATGAATCTTAATGTGTTTATCTGGCAAGATCTAGGCAATCTTACTGTATGATAGAGTTGCTATCTTAACAACCTAGAAATAGACACCATTCCACTTAAGAAAATAAAGGGTTAGCAATGAAGGACTTGCCGAAAGCCATTTAATTAGCAAGTGGCTAGCCACATCCTACCCTCTGTTTTTCTTTTCTCTTCCTTTTTTTTTTCCTAGACAGTTTCATATATCCCAAGCTGGCCTAAAACTTGCACTCACCACGTGTATCGCACTCAGCTTACATTAGGCTGGGGAGCAAACCCAGAATCTGTACACACAGCATGGGAACCCTACCAACTGAGCTACAGTCTTATCCCCAGCCACCATGTTTTCACATTATAGTCCCAGAGCCCTGATTAGGCATATACGAATATATGCAGGAATACGAAAAGTGAAAGAGACTACTACAGAGCCAGTGAGATGAATCAGTAAACAAGACTGTTTACTACAAGTCAGATGAAGTTCCATCCCCAGAACTCACATGGTAGAAGGAGAGAACTCAATCCCACATTTGTCCTTTGATTTTTATATGCATGTCTTGCCCCTCCTCAATTAATAAATGTAAACTATTAATTATTTTGTAAAGGACTTTTCAAAAGAGACACTACTAGTTTCATACACTAAGTTTAGAATTTAAACTGTTACTTAAGGCATAACCTACAAGGCTGGAAATGTATTGACTGATCTGTATTATAAACCTGCTTTCCTCCCGTCTTTCCTAAGCATGCTCCTTAATCGTCAGAATGCACTCAGTGTTCTAGCTGCATCACCAATAACCAGCACATCTTCGTGTCTTGGTAGATACTACTAACTTTTTTTTTCAAGACAGGTTTCTCTGTGGCTTTGGAGGCTGTTCTGGACTAGCTCTTGTAGACAAGGCTGGTCTTGAACTCACAGAGATCCACCTGCCTCTGCCTTCCGAGTGCTGGGATTAAAGTTGTGTGCCACCACCGCCCGGCTAACTTTATTTTTCAGTGTGGTCAAGGATCAGTGAGATGACTCTCTCAGAAAAGGTGCTTGCCATGCAAACTTGGGAACTTGAATTTGATCCTTGAACCCACATAAAAGTATAAGGAGAGAACTAATTTTGACTCTCATATGAATGGAATATGCACACCTTCACACACACATCACACACACACACACTGCCACCATCACCATCACCACTAATAATAATAATAATAATAATATAAAGAAATGTAGCTGGTAGCTGGACATAGCAGTGCATGTCTGTAATCCTAGCGCTTAGGAACTGGAGGCAGAAGATTCCAGAGGTCAAGATCATCCTTAGCTTCATGACAGTTCAAGGCAAGCTTGAATTACCTGAGACCCTATCCCTCCATCCCCAACCCCCCCAAGAAAGAAGTAAGAAAGAAGGATAAAGAAAAAAAAACAAACACTGGGTGTTGGTGGTGTGCACCTTTAATCCCAGCACTCGGAGGCAGAGGTAGGCAGATCTCTGTGAGTTTGAGGCTAGCCTGGTTACAGATCCAGTTCCAGGACAGGCTCCAAAGCAATACAAAGAAACCCTGTCTTGAAAAACCAAGAAAGAAAAGCCAAACAAAAATAAAGCTAAACCAAATACATGTCCGCATGTGATTGCTCTGACATAAAAGCAAAGCAAAAGGAGAGTAGTGTTGGATGCAGAACAGAGGCTTTGATCAAAATGGTGGGCATGTGCAGCTGGCTTTGAACATGCCAGCTGTCTGAACTGAGGTCACCCATTTCTCTGTGCTTCTATATGCTCCTCCCTAAAATGGGGTGTCCTTCGAGATTTACAAAATGTGAAGCAAATCAAACCATGCACTGTCCCAGGGGTTCTGAATATGCAATGAATGTAGCTACTGTTACCAATTTGTTGTGCTCTGGGCTGAATCTGAGTGCCTCCTGTCTGTTTCTCCCTGGGTGACCTCATTCAATCCCATGACTTTAAAAATACTCTGTACCAACGACTCCAAAAGGTATGACTCTTGCCGAACAGATCTCCCTAAATGTGAGCCAGTTCATGTCACCGCTCTGCTCAGAATCACTACTGTGGCTCCCCTTCTCTCTCGACGAAACAACCAGAGCCCCGCTGGAAGCCTATGAGGTCCTCCACACCCTGTCCTGGTCATTCCCAACTCTTTCCTTATCCTTTCTTTTTCAGCCACACTGCTATTGCATGTGGAGCGCCCCTAAATACTCTCGCTCCTCAGGTCCTTTCCACCTCCCATACCGTTTGTACGTTCACCCCCAAATGTTCATGCAGCATGACCCTTTGTATGATTTAAGCTCCTGCTCAAATACTAACTCATCAAAGAACCCGTCTATCCCTGTGAGAGAAGATTCCCTCCTTTTCTGTTTCTTCCCCTTGCTTTATGTTTCTATATGATCTGATTGGTACTGCATCTATTCATTTGTTTTGCCTAGAGTATGAGCTGAATTAAAGCAGGAACTTCATTTTGCTCACAACCCTTAAATCAGTGTTTGCTATATGGCAGGCATTCAATAAATATTTATTGCTTAGCTATAATTATGTTAATTGCCCAGCTTATAAAATCTCTTGCTCTTTCTGCCCCACTAATTTGCATCTTATGCTAGAGAAGTTACAAGCTTCTTTGTGAATTATATTGGTTCTTAAGACTCTTATATTGAAATTAGAAACTTTGGGGCCAGTAATACAACTTATCAGGTAAAGGCACTTGTCACCAAAACTGATGACCTGAGTTCAGTCCCAAGGACTGGTACTGAGGGAAGCAGGAGAAAACGGACTCCTGTAGGTTATCCTCTGAGCCCTACAGTAGTGCTGTAATGTATGTGTGTGTGTGTGTGTGTGTACACATGTGCACACGTACAAAGTAATAAACATTTTAATAAACTAGAAAATTTCTCCATAGTAGAGATTGGTTTGCTATTCAGGAGAGATATGCTCCTTGCACACCCACCACAAACTCTTAGATCAGAACTAAAGAGCAGGGCTAGAGAGAAGGCTGAGCAGGCAGAGGCACTCACCACAGAGTCTCATGGCCTGGGTCCAACCCCTGGAACCCGCAATGTGGAAGGAGAGAAAAGACACTTGCAACGAACTGTTAAAAATTTGAGGTCCGGGGAAGTAATACTTGTGCTTCTGAATCACTAAGCTGATTATTGGTTCCATATTGTATCCAAACAAAACATTCCACCATTCTTCAAACCTTTCCTTTCCCCCTATTCATTTTTCTGAATTAGCCCACTCATTTGCTTAACTCAGAATTTAAGACATGTTCCTGAACTTCTCTATATCCAACCTATCTGTAAAGACTAAAAGCTACAAAATCTATCCTATCTCTTCCATGCCCTCCCTGTAAGTCCCAGGACAATACCACCTGTCTGTGGCTGCCAGCCTCCTCTTCCATTCTCTTCTTCCCATTTGCTTTTTCTCTGAACAGTCAGAGATCTCATGAAAATGTAAATCGCACAGTGCTCTCCTGCTTAAAGGTTTCAGAGTCTTCCTTTTGTTATTCACCGTAAGAAAAACTTCTGGCCCGTGATCCTAGTCCCACGTGATGACTGGCACCCACGTTTCTACTACTGGTTTCCAGCTTGCCTAAGGCTTTTGGTTCCATGGACCTCTTTTCATGTTCATGAGCACAGGAAGACCTATCCTGTCCCTAAATATCCATACTAACAACTCTGTCTAAATGGGACCACCTCAAATGCCATGTCCCCAGAGCTTTCCCAGACCACCTAGTTGTCCAGTCTCTTCTGTCAGAGAATCAGCTAATTCACGAATTATGTTTTTCACAATTGCACCTAATATCCTCCTTGTGGTTATTATCAACCTCACTCCAGTGGAATGAAAACTTAAAGAAGAGACGTGCTTTGCTCCTTCAAAGGGGTTCATAATAGCATCTCTGGAGAGTGAACACTCCAAAAATAAGAATGGAACAATAACTGTCTCAACTTAGATAAGCTCATAAAGGAACATGAGTTTCCTAATACCTAGATTTAGTAATTTCCTCATTCATATTTGCTCAAATCCATAGTCGCTTCAACCCACACAAAGGACCAGACTCTCACTGTTTCTTGGAGCCACTAAGTCAAATTTTGGCCTCCTTTCAATAGTTTAGGATCACTAAATAAGGGAGGAAAAAAAGCCCGAAATTAAGAGTATAGAACAACTGTCATTTGTCACTTAAGATATTGAGGCCATGAAAAAGAAAATTCATAAAATCAAATATTTTTGGAGTTGGCTATGTTAGGAATATAGAAGGGGAGAAAAAGAGCGAGATAGGAAAGCAAAATCTGAAGTAGGCAGGACATAGGCAGCACACCACGCTGTAAAGCCTGCAAGGCTCTTGTTTGGTACCAGTTCTTGTTTCGTAGATAAACTAAGATGGGGTGATGCAATGAAGTGGGATGAGACGGATAGAAATGATAGGGTCAGGCACCAGGACTAGTGACGCGAACCAAGCTAGAGAGGAAGTAGGGCTGAGCAATACAAAAGCAGCCTCGGATCTCTCCGGAGTTGCAAGCGTTAAAGGGAGGCGGGGAGTGACGCGGTTTGCGTCTAGAGCGGCTCCTTGGAGTCCACAGCATCCACCGCCAGAGCCTCGCCTTCCTTTCTCCGTCTGCAGACATATCGAGACACAAAAAGAGGCAACCCCTGGACCAGCACGAGGGACCTACTCCCATCATGACCGAGACCACAAAGACCCACGTTATCCTGCTGGCCTGCGGCAGCTTCAATCCCATCACTAAAGGGCACATTCAGATGTTCGGTGAGTCCTCCCGCCCACCCCGGAGGCTGCTTCCGCTGCTCTACTCTCGCCAATGCCAGGGTTTTCCAGGGCGACTGGGCAGAAAGGCGTGCGCCCCTCCGGAGGGGTGCGCCCGCTGATTTGGCTGGTGCCAGGTCAGCCCGTGCGATCACCGCTAGCGAGAGCCGACGCAGGCTGCGTGTTTTCCGGGCTTCTCTAGCTTGGGGCCAGATCGCCTCGCTGAGGGCCATGGGTGGGGGAGGTGCGGGGCTGGGGGTGAAGGTCCTCTGGGGCGGGGTGGGGGCTCCAGGTTAGAGCCCTGGAGTGCGACGGTGCGGAGGTTTGACTACTTGGCAGGCGAGGATAGGGATGGGGGCAGAGGTTGGGGTGAGAAGAGAAGAGGAGAGGGGTTGGAAATAACGTGCTGTTTGTTTAGGATGGACAGAAAGCTCGAAGGAGTTAAATGTGCCTCAGAGACGCAAACACTCGCACACGACACACCAGTGACAGGGACTGGGGTTTCAAGGAGATAACTAACAGGTTTGGCTGGCGGTTCCTGGAGGCTCAGGGACAAATGTTTGGGGGTTGTGGCTGTGTGTGGCCCCGAGCGGTGGATGCTGACTGATGGCGAGGGGTGCCCTGGCCGGCCGAGGTTTAGCTCTGGCTGCCTAGGAAGGGGAGGGGACGGGGCGGATGCTGCGGGAGGTGGTCCACGAGCTGGCGAGATGGATCCGGGTCCAAGTTAGCCAAGGTTCTGCCCAGAGCGGCAATGGCACTGGGCAGCCTTGCGGCTTGAGTGTGAGGATGCATGTGAGGTAGAGACGCGTCTTAACGAGTTTGTTTTTTGAGGTTTGGGACGTACAGCGAGAGGGACCGAGCCCCAGCGTCTGGGTGCGTGTGTAAGGTTCATCAGAGAGACAACTGTCCACGCAGGTTGGAAATTTCTCGCTACTGGTGCGGAATCCACGCGGCTCAGAGACTGCTCCTGTAGGACCCAAAGGCGCAGGGTGTGCGAGAGTTTGGACCCCTGAGAGAGGGGCGCGGGGGTCACTTTAGAAACAGGAATTGAGAAGTTAGAAGTTGGGGTTGCTTTTTCCTGGGACTCAAGGAAAGTAGGTGAAATCCAGGCCTCCGGGATGGAAGAAGGAACCAGTGAGAGGCCCTGACCCGGCTCTGCGGTGAGGCGCTCTCCACAGGCGGCGGTGCTGAAACGCAGCGCGCTGCCACTGGCTGAGGGCACACGTGTTTGCCCAGGGCTGGAAGACCGCCAGGGCTTTCCTAGGCTTTTTAATGAAAGCCATAACATGCGCGTAAAGACGACCCCAATTGCCCAAGCTAAAAATACCCGTCTCTAAACCTAAAAGGTGAATCTTCACTTGGCCCGACGATTAAAAAAAAAAAACAAAAAAACAACTCACGACCAGGTTATAAAACTACCCTGCACTCAGGGCAGATCCGCCTAATTAGTAACCATCCGTTTCGCATTATTCTGTAAGCTTCTAAAAGTATTTATTCCGAGATGACGCCAACTTGCCTGTTAAATAGGAGGTTTTGTTACAGCATCGAGGTGGACCAGCAGCGGGGTGGGTCACCTTCTCAGTTTTCTGAAGTAACAACACCCCAGGCATTCACCACTTTTTTTACTTTCTTGTGAATCAAGTGTCTCTTCTCTTGTATTCTTCATCCTCATTGTCCACTTTTCCGTTGGCAGCCTCATGTTGATATTGTTTCCAGGAAGGATTGAGCTTCCTTGGGAACGCCTTAACTCTAGGAATCTTTAGGGAGCCAGTGGGCGCTCCTTTTTGCTTTCTGGAAATCCCACTTGCCGTAGGATCAGAAGTGGGCCAGATTTTGAATGAGAGCAAAGGCACTGTCTTGCAACTGAATGGTTTGGTAGCAGTGATAGAGGGCAGTGTGTGTGTATGTGTGTGTGTGTGTGTGTGTGTGTGTGTGTGTGTGTGTGTGTGTGCTCATCTATCTGCCTATTCTCCAGGAGCTTTGGGGATAGAATATGAACACAGGCATAGGTTGTAGCAGAAGGTTATACATTTAGAATAAGTGAAAGGAGACTTTTGACAGTGACCATTATTCACTCCCCATTGGCTTCGAGGACCAACTGAGAAGATCTGTCAACAAAGCCTTTTGAGTATCCATTAAGTGTAACCTAAAGAGCAACACAGGAAAAAGCTGTTATGTGCTCACAATGGGTTTAGGGAGCTTACCACCTAATGGAGGCTTTTCTAAAAGTACATACACATGTGAAAAGGAAACAAGAAGAGGAGGACAAAATAGATATTAAACTACAGGTTGTGGAATTTCTTACTGGTATCTTTGAGCTTCTTACACATTTTGAAGATTATTTTTATGACATTTATTTCTTTATTATTTCTGTATGTGCTGCAGTTTTCATATTAAGGGGGTCAAAGGACAACTTGTTAGAATTGCTGTGTGTGTACTGGATACTGAACTCAGGTTGTTAGCTTTGGTGACAAGCACCTTTGTCTTCTGAGCAATCTTAGCGGTCCTTTAAATCATGTTTTTATTTTCTTAGTCATGTATTTTTAGAGATCCTGTCTCAATTATATCATCCTGGATGGTCTAGAATCTACTATGTATATCTGACCAGTTTTGAACTCACAGAGATCTACTTGCCTCTAACCTTTGAGTACTGGGATTACCGGCCTGAACTGATTTTGTTTCATTTTATATTTCTTGATAATGGGTCTCACTCTGAGCCCAAGCTTGTCCAAAAGTTATAGTAATTCTCCTGCCTCAGCCTTGCAAGTGCTGGAGCAGGCATGAACCACCATGCTTGACTTTATTAATTTTGTATGGCAGTTTCTAGGTAAAAGCTTCTCATGTATGTTTTGAACTTGTTCATGTTAACAATCTTACAAGACAAATATCACTGTCTCTTTTGTGAGTGGGAAACTGGTATTCAGAGCCTGAGCAGGTAACAATGTGATTTGATCTTGAGACAGGATTTCAAGTACTCTAGGCTGGGCTTAGCTTGGCTGTTTTGACAAGGATGACCTTGAACCCCTGCTTCCGTCTCCTGAATACTGGTATTATATGAGTACACCATCACTCCCTTGACTGGGTTGTCTGGAGCCTCACATTTCACATCCCTCTTACAGATACTGCTGTACTGCATGGCTAGGAAGAAGCGCTCAGCCAATCTGGTTGGGCCACCTACTGAACACTATTTCCTTTAAATGTACACTAATTAGATGGAATTGACCATCAGCTCACTGCATTCTGGGTGATGCGTTTCCTTAAGAGCTTTTTCTCATTGCAAGAGAGACAAGTTATCCAGGAGCTACTCCCATTTAAAAATGATGTTAAGATGTTCTCCCCAAGAACACATAAGTACTTAACATAATTAAATTATCAAACTTTCTTTAGGTGTATGAAATTTGGTGGTACATGCTTGTAACCCAGATTTTGAGATGCAGAAGTAGGAGGATCAGGAATTCAAGGGAAGCTTTTACTACACAGTTTAAGGCCAGCTACATGAGATGCAAAAACAAAACAAAACCAACAACCCTTAAATTCCTTTAGTAGAGTGCCTGCATTTCCTAAAATCCAGTTGCTTACTGGGGGGGGGGAGAGAAAGAATATAAACAAACAAGCAGAATCAGGGCTTAGAACTAAAGAACTCACTTTCCTTTTTGAAATGCATGTGGGCAAATTTATGTGTGTGCAGGAGCATGTATATGTAAGGGGGCATGTATGTGAACAGGTGTGCCTGAAGACCATGGGACAGCTTTGAGTGTTATCCTCAGGAACCATCCACCTTTTTAAAGACAGGGCCTCTCACTAACGAGCCCCAGGGACCCACTTGTCTCCATCTGCCCAGTGCGAGAACCACAAGTATGTGTCACCAAGCTTTTTTTAAAATGTGGGTTCTGGAGGTTGAACTCAGGTCCTTTAGAAAATATACTGATTAAACCATCCTCAAGCCAGATTCTTCATTTTTATAAATTATGCCTAGTAAAATTTTGGCTATTTGTAAAATATTTTAGAATGAACCTTTCATTTACTCTGAAAGGAGAGCTGAACTTATTTATCTGATTTGTGGACAACAGAAACATAGGAAAACATAGCATTTGTGACTAAGATAAGTGATAATTTTATACTCATTTGCAACTAAAAGGTTCTTAGGGAATGAATAAAAAAGCTTTTAGCAAAGTAAACCCATGAACTAAGGATGCCACATTTCATGGGTCAACTTCATTGCATAAGAAGACAATGTGAATCCTGAAGGATTCTTAGTTTTTATAACTCTAAAGAAAATTATACTGAAATACCATTTCTAGCATGACCATGCAGGCAGGGGACAGTCAACATGGACGGGGACATCTAGGAGAAAATGAGGGACAGGGGGTACAGAAACGGACTACAAGACAAGATTCTGATCAAGTAGACAACCTTTATTCATCCCAAAGGGATTTTTATAAGCCATAGGTGGGAAGTGAGGAGGGGAGGGAATAGGGGTGTTAACTGCAGCTGCAATGAAGCTGGTGGAGCAGAGGTCAGTGGGAGAGTTAGGCCATCCTGTGTCGCCTGGTAACCTAACTGCTGTCTTTCAATCTACCCTCTATTGTTCAAGCCTACTCCCGAGTGAGTTGGTAATTTTCACTAGGCAGATAAGCCGTGGGTCTGTTTTCTCGGAACTTGCTTCCTACCTTAAGAGGCAGTATTTCTGCAGTGTGGCCTGGAGTCACATCTTCTCTACGAGGATGCTATGGCTGGATTATGGCGGAGGTCCCTGACATTAGCTTACTAATGGGTAATTTCCACTTAAAATTAAGAATAATAGATATTTATATTGATATATTTAAGTTTATTTTATGTGCATTGGTGTAAGGGTGTGAGATGCCATGTGGGTGCTGGGATTGAACCCAGATCCTCTGGAAGAACAGCCAGTGCTCTTAACTGTTGAGCCATCTCTCAGCCCCCATATATTTATTTGTAAGTCTACCATTGAGTAGTTAAACAGTAAGTTTAACTAGAAAAGA